TAAAAAAAAAAATCATAAAGTTCGATGCTGCTATTCATGCAACATGATAGTTCTAAATCATTAATCTTAAAAATAATTATTTTTCCCATTATAACTGAAAATAAGCAATTTGGTCAATAATTTTTTTTCCCATTATAATTAAAAAGGGAAGGTTATAATTACAATTTTTTTGTTTACAAACTACGCTATGTTCTTTTAGGAGAACACTAGGTTACACTATGTTCTCTCGGAAGTACATAGTATAATTTGCAAAAATTTATAAAAAAAAATTTATAAACGATTCTTGTCCGGTCTAAAAATAACCAATTTGGTCAATAAAAAAAATAAACAATTTGGGGCTGAAAGGTCTGTGCAGATTGGGCTGCTGGGCTAAAAGGCCTATGGTTAAATTTCTTGGTGAAACAACTTGAGGTTAGCGGCAAAAATTTCCATTAGTGTTATCCATATAGGTGGAGACACACTAGGAAATTTAAAAAATAAGCAAAAATTAAAAACGAGTAAAAAATACTAATTATACTTTATTAGTATAATTCGTTTATCCTAATGCAATAAAAAATTTAAAATCTCTTCATTCTTTATAAAATATTTGCAAGTCAGTTAATTTTAATTGTAATTTTTTTTTTAAAAAGGATAATTTTATTTAAAAAATAAAACTATAGTATGACTATTTGCGTACAAGTAAAATATTTAAGGATAGCTCACCAAAAAAAAATATTTAAGGATAATAAACCATACAATCAAAGTTTTAACTTGTTACAAGAATTTTTTTAAAAAAAGAAAAAAATTCCGATTTTAATTATTTTATTTGGGGAGGATTATATTTACAAACTTTTTATTTACAAACTATATTATGTACTCCCGAAAATACACTAGGTTACACTATGTATTTCCGGAATTACATAATGTAATTTGTAAAAAAATTTGTATACGGATCATTCCCTGTTTTGTTTTGCTTGATAACTTTACACAGTATTTAAAAATGAGATACATAAACGGCTGCTTACAAAGGGTAGGATCGCTACATGGAATGATGGTGATAATAGTTGCCCTTGTTGTATAGGAGGGACATAAACAATTCTACATGCTTTGAGGGATTGCAACAGTACCAGAATATTGTGGAATTTACTAAGCCTTTCTCAGCTTGCAACGAATTTCTTTAATTTGGACATTGATGCATGCTCATCAAATAAACAGATCTCTTATGTTTCTTTCTACTTGATGGAAGATTTGGTTTTGGAGAAATAAGATGAATAAAGGGGAAGAAGTCTCACCTGTTGGCATTAAAATAGAGGTAATCAAGAAGTTAGTGCTCGACCTGGAGGAAGCTGCTGTCAATCTAGTTAAATTGCATGCAAATTTAGGTTATAGTTATCTCAATATTTCTTGGCAATTCCCGGAAGATGGGTTGCTTGTGGTGGAGTGATACGAAATTCTCAAGGCAAATGGATGGGTGGATTTACTTATAAGCTGGGCATCTGTTCATCATTCAGAGTAGAGTTGTGGGGCATTTTGAGGGCCTGGAGAAGGCTTGGAACAATGGTCATAGGAAAGTTATTCTGGAAAATGATTGGCTTATGGCGATCATTGGGCTCACCAAAAGTGGTGCAGCAATCTGTGAAATGCAGTTGGTATCTCAGATATGGAAATGGTTGGGGAAAGATTGGCAGGTTCGTCTGTGACATACGTTTAGAGAGGGAAACATGTGTAATGCCGAAGCAGTAACCTATTCGTTAAACAGAAAGAAGAACGAAACAAAGATTGTGAGAAAACACTATTTCTCTTTTCTTAATTTTCTTTAACCAAAAACAACCTCATAACAATAGAGTTCTCGAAGCCTTAAATAGGCAAAAATAAAATAACAAAAAAAGTAAATAACTATAATCATGAGCAATCAAAGGAGATAACGCACAATAAACACACACTCAAACATAATCTAAAATAACAAAAAGGAAATAACTAGCAATTATTAAAATTCCCTAAATAAAGAAATAAATTATGGAAGTTCCAATCCAAGCGAGTCACCCAGGTGCATCATTCTCCCCTGCCAAAAGAAGATTCGTCCTCGAATCTAACGAATCTTCATGGTTACTCTCGCATATTATGCCCTCTTCATCATTATGATAAGGAGACAAGTCAGCAACATTGAAAGTACTAGAAATATTGTATTCCCCAAGAAGTTCAATCTTGTAAGCATTGTTATTGATCTTCCCGAGCACCCTGAAGGGACCATTAGCTCTAGGTAGTTTAACAATCCTGCTAGCCAGAAAATGTTCCTTCCTAAGGTGGATCCATACCATATCGCCTTCCTTGAAAATGGCTTGATTTCTATAACTGTCAACTTGTTGTTTATATTTCACATTCTGCTTCTGAATATTATCATGAACCTGTGAACGTAACTCCTTTTGCTCCTCGGTGCTAATCCTATATGTAGCTTTGTCGGGAATAACAGCGCCTGACACAAGGTCAATACAATACTGGATGTCTATTATAGGTGGCAATTCCAATGGCATCTCCTCAGAAACCACATCAACGAAGTCCTCTAGCAATGGCTTAACCTGCAAAGGAATGTCAGAAACATCAGAATTTTGTTCTATCACCACACAAGCAAAAATCTCAATGGCATTGGTAGATTCCTCTTGGGAACCTACTCTGGACAACATAGTGTTCTTCGCCTCCTCCTTCAATTCAGATGGACCCAAGGTAATAGTTAGTCCGTCCTTCTTGAAAGTGTAAGTATTTTTGAAGCAATCGTGCTTTGTCTTCCTACCAAATCGCCACGGCCTCCCCAACAAGATATGACACACATCCATTGGAATAACATCGCACCACACCTCATCAGTGTACCTTTTGCCGATAGAAAGTTGTACAAGACAACTCTTGTTCACCTTCACCTCACTTCCTTTCTTCAGCCAAGCAAGCTTGTATGGTTGTAGGTGTTCCTCTGTTTTCAATCCTTGCTTCTCGACCATGGTATTAGAGACTACATTCTCGCAGCTCCATCCATCAATGATCATATTACACACCTTCCGCCACTGGTGCACTTGGTGTAGAATATATTGTGTCGATGCCACGACTCATCATCAATTATTCAACATTCAACACCCTTCGAATAACCAAGGCTTCGCCTGAATCACTGAAAATAATCTCACATTCTTCAGAACCTCCATCCACCTCATGTTCTTCATACTCATCATAGGTGGGGCTTATATCATGGGCTTGAGTATCCGCAAGAGTAACATACTGCCGGTTTGGACAATCAGCAGCGAAGTGTTCTAATCCCTTACACTTGAAACACCTCTTTGCCGTAGTCCTTGTCTTGCTTGCTTCACCATTGATCGCTCCCCCCTTGCTCACTAGTTTCGGGTTAGAAAGTTCCATCCCCACACTAGTGTTGGCTGTCAAGCTTGATAAGTGTCCTTTGTCACAAAATCTGGATTGAAATTTTGAAGTACCTCCTCTTCTCTTACACTGCTCCTCTACCTTCAAAGCTAGTCGACGTACGTCCTCATATGACCAATATTGTTGCAGGTATACAACATCTGAGATCTCAGTTCCCAGTCCTTCTAGGTAACGAGCAACCAATTGTTCATCCTCCTCTGCAATATCACAGCGCATCCGTAAACGATCAAACTCAGTTGTATACTATTCAACTGATAGGTCTCGCTGCTTGAGTTTATGGTACTCAATAAATGCCTCTTGTTGGTAACGAATGGGTAAGAATTTTTGTTGTAACAGTTTCTTCATCTTATCCTAACTTCTGATCTTTGACTTCCATTCTTTGTTTCGCTGCTTCTTAATATGTTCCCACCAAATTGAGGCATGCTTCCTCAGTTTGATAGCGACCAGTTTGACCTTCTAGTCTTCTGTCAAGTCTCTGATATCAAAGACTCTTTCGACAGTGTGTAACCAGTCAATGAACTCATCTGGATGAGTGGTGCCCTCGAATTTCGAGATCTCAATCTTCACCCCAATATTGGCAAAAAAAGATTGATTTCCAGGTTGACTTCGTCCTCGTCGCTCCTAGTTCCAGTCCCAGAATGGGTTCTCGTTCCTTTCCTCCTCATGAGATGATCTTTCAGATTCCCTTCCTTCATTTAACTCGTCCAACTGTGTTTGGGCTAACCGTTGTTCGAGCTCCTGAATTCGTCTACCTTGTTCTGTCATTGTAGCAGTCATTGCTACCATTGTGGCGTCTCGCGCGTCAATGTATGGTTTTTCGCCGTCACCATAAAGGATGTTACCACGCCCTCTACCGCCGCCTTGACCCCGTCGTCCACGACCTCGACCTCGACCGCCATTGTTCTGTTCAGCCATTTATGTGACAACCAGAGCTCTGATTACCAAATAATGCCAAAGCAATAACCTATTGGCTAAATAGAAAGAAGAACGAAACAAGGATTGTGAGAAAGCACTATTTCTCTTTTCTTAATTTTCTTTAACTAAAAACAATCTCATAACAATAGGGTTCTTCAAGCCTTAAATAGGCAAAAATAAAATAACAAAAAAAGTAAATAACTATAATCATGCGCAATCAAAGGAGATAACACACAATCAACGCACACTCAAACATAATCTAAAATAACAAAAAGGAAATAACTAGCAATTATTAAAATTCCCTAAATAAAGAAATAAATTATGGAAAAGCTCAATCCAAGTGAGTTAATGGATCCCATTTGTACTATTCTAGAGAAAAATGAGTTAAGGTTGAAGTTAATGGACCATGAGTTATTTTGAATCCAATTTGCTATTTAATCAGTCTTCAACATTAGGTTGAGTTAAAAATAGGACAACGGTAATTCTTCTTCTTTGCATTTTTTTAAATAAGAATAATAAAAATAAAGAAATTTATCTTGACAAAAAAATTAAGTGTTTACATGTAGGATTGGTTTTTTTTTTTTTTTTTTGGGTTCATTTGGATTTGGTATGTTGCAAAGTAATATGCAAGTGAAAGATCGCGTTTTACTTTACGAGGGTTTGGAATTTTGTAATACATCCTTACTTATATTTACATTACATTCATGTTCACTTTCATTAAATTTCTCGTGTCACTAATGACAATAACATCACCTCTCAAATATCAGCGTTTGAGTCAGAAACTTGCAGCAGCTGAAGCTTGAAATTATCCCTTTGCAGCAGATGATATCACCCCCAGTGAAAAAAACTAGGAAGAATTATACAATTAATCTAATCTAATTCATTTAGAATTATGAAAAAAATAAAAAAAAGTTGAAAGAACCATTCACAACTAATCCAGTAGGACAATGAACAAATTCCACCTCACCTCTCCCGTAAAATCCATGAAAAAAAAATGCCTATTTTGTTTGATCAGTAATACAGACCCTCTTGATCCCAAATATCAACAAGAAAGTCAATCATTTCCTGTCACAAAAAATATTATAATTAATTAGTGATATATTATCAAAAATAAATACAAGAATATTAATAGATAAAAGAACCAAGTTCAGGAAATCATACTCCGAGAGGGATGGGTTGGGGAAAGGGCTTGTTGTTCCCAAGTAGATTGTCGTAGGTGACATTTGAACTGTAGAACATAAACTCAGAATTAGAGATGTTAGAGTGATATAATACAAAATCATTAATTCAGCCTTCATCTAATAACTTAAACTTTTTGGTGGAATTAATTGCATTACATGATATCAGAGCATTCATGACCTCTTGGTCACGAGTTCATCCTCATCATCCTGATTCTATTAATAAATAATTAATCATTGTGGAGTCTTTTAGACTAGGTAGGTGGGGTCTATATATTATTCATCCCAAATAGACTCTTGTATAAAGAGATATGTCAGAGAGATATAATGTAAAACCATTTGGGTTACAAATATCAATAAACATCATAAAAAATTAACTTTGAAGTAAATGCAGCTTGACAGTAATCCCAATTTCCGTCTCACAACAAATCTCCCTGCTTGTATCATGAATGCTCAGCTCGTGATTAATAGTGCAGTTTTTATAATAAAATAATGAGCAAGGTTATATTTATAATTTTTTTGTTTACAAATTACCCGATGTATTACGCGTAGTACATACTATTTGAGCATGTACTACCCATAGTACATAGTATAGTTTGTAAAAATTTGTAAACAAAAAGTTTGTAAATATAACCTATCCCTAAAATAATTAGCCCAAAAAAGAAAAGAAAAAATCAGAAAAGAAATGGAAGAGGCTTTCTTCAGTTAGGACTTGTTCCCTGTACAGTGTAAAAGCTTGGTCAATGTGAAAATAAGCACCAGCTATACAGCTAAAACATGCTCAGACAATGCAATAGTATTGTCAGCCATGAAATTATAGGAAGAAATTATACGAATTTCGGTAGTTTAGGAAGAAAAGATAGGATAAGGAGGATGGTACCACTCTGATATTATTATTGAAATTATTGAGATTTAAGTAGGGAAGAAAGAAGAGAGAGAATAAAGATAAAATAATTTGAAATTGATATTGATTTGAAATGAAGGATGTGTTATAAAAGACAAAGTAATAACCCCTAATTATACTAATAGTAGACTCTTATCCTAATTAAATGAGGAAATAAATCATGAAATATAAGGAAATATAAAAATCAATTCGAAAAAATCATCTAAGATACTCTAAATTATTTAAGACATATTCATGTTATTATGAGATATCCTTCTAGATATTCTAATAGTTAGCATGGTTGGTTGCTTCTTCTAGGAAGGGAAAAACTTCGCATGTAACTAGCATAAAAATGGGCAAAGATCTGATACTAGTTACTGAAAAGCAGCAGATAATACATGGAAGCAATTAGCCACAGCAAACTTCATTCCTCTAACAGCTTGAAAATGCATGAAAGGGAAAGTGAATACAATTTTTTCTTTTTCTTTTGTAAGATGTTCATATTGCAACTTAACATTTGAGGCTTCACTGCTGAATGCATATTTTATTTACCTTATTTTTGGTTCTCTAACTCCTGTCTGAGTCTTAGACCTTTTGTTTCCAACCCATTGTTGCCTTATCTGGTTCCAGAGAAGAAGACCTGCATCCATCAAACTTTTCTGTTCAAATGAAATGAAAATAAAGAATTATACGTGCAGATCAACTAAAATCCTGAAAAATAGTTTTTTATTGTAAGTTCCAGAAACAGCAATTACACATAACTAAATTGACTATAATACCACCCCAAAAAAAACTCTCTGTTAAACCCCGACTAGCAATGGTAGGGATAAAGGCAATTGCCTTGCATTTTTGCAAAGAGACTGTTTCTCAATCTTGAACCTGTGACCTTCACGATCACAAAGAACAACTTTATCGCTACTCCAAGGCTCACCCTCAAGGCTTTTGATTCAAATATTTCACGAAAAATAATAAAATAACTCATACCTTAGCAAAGCACATATAAGTCCTACATGATTCTATGAACATTTAAGCAAAGACTGCTTCCACAGCAGAGAACCAACAGATAATAAACTTATAACAGCAAACTTGCCATGGTTGACAAATTCAGGAGGACCAATTTGACTGTCTGCACTACTTTGAGGATCAGAAGGATTATTTGATATTCCAGTTGACGAGATGCTTCTCTGGGATTGAGCTGCACTATGATCCATTTCAAATGTGCTGCTGCTCCAGAAATCTTCTGAACCATTGTCTTTATTAACTGTTTGATCTTCTTGAGTTCCTAGTCCTTTAGATGCTTTATTCGGAGGTTCTGAGCAGCATCCAAGACAACCTCTGCTCTGTTACAAACCAGGAAATTCAACCACAAGCATGATTAACATCAACTATTAACTATAATCAGTCTTCCATCTTGAATTAAAAGAAGGTGACATTGATAAGTTGCTATCGCGCACTTTTATTGATGTAAAACACAAAAAAAGGAGCAAGCATGATGTGATAAGATTGGAATCAACAAAAAATGCACTTTAACAGCAAGATAGAAGAAATAAAAGAAGGTAAGCTTCTCCTCTCTAAACAATGGAAAAACATATGTTTGCAATTAATGCAGCAATAAATTTCATGAAATTAAAATTAGCCTAAAATAAATCTCTCTTACACATAAAAGCCCCTTGCATTTGAGCTTTAACTTTTCCATGGCTGAAAGCACAGGAACACCAAAACAGGCACCACAAAACAGTAAAAATGAGCAGTGGGGTTTCTTCCCAGAGCATTTACCCTTTTGTGCTAACAAGCAACACCTAGAATACATAACTCCAAGTGAAACCCTATAACAGAAGCAAATTCTACGTATCTTATATCAACTTCCAAAGAATCCAATGAAAGAATGACAAACAATAAAGCCCCATCACGTTACCCTTTTCACCATATATTATGCTTGCTTAAAAACCAAGCAAGTACAAGCAAAGATTCCCAAACATGATTAAAAAAAGACTACAAACTACAGATAATGACCTTAACGTACCCAGAGGGGTCGAGAAGATGAAAAGGAATAAAAATTTCAACTTTCTAGTTTCCTGAATTTCCAGAACTACAAAAGCAGCAACACCAACTCAACTATAAAAATTCAACTCAACATCAGTTGAATTTTTCACTATCTCAGAAAGCTAAGTGAACCAAAATAATACAATTATAAATTTTACATCTAGAAAAGTTATTTGCTCTCAGATTAAGGAATAAGTAGAACAGTAAAAAAGTCAAAGTCAAATGGAAAATTCAGTCCTTTATATTCCTCAGCTACCAAATAAAGACAAACAAAAAAGAGAGCAAGGAACTCACCCCATGCACGCCACTGACACAACGCGGAACGTATCTACAGATTTGCATTTACACAAGTCAAAGACGAGATTTGCCACCTAAAAAATAAAGAAAAATTCTGAACCAAGGAGAGACTTCAATACCCTGCATGTACAATATAATAATAACAATAAGATAAAATAAAAAATAAAAAAGTAGAGAACTTCTTAGACTTTAATAAATAAAAGAAAGGGGAGGGGACAAAAAGCTAGCAAATATTCGAGTTGTTTGGTCCTCGAGAAAAAAGAAGGAAGGAAGAAAGAGTGGCCTGTTTGATTGCCAAGAAATTGTAAGGGAACATGAAAGATGACTATCCAAGACCAAAAAATTAATTTACTGCACTTTGAAAAATAATTACGGATGTATTGCATAATTATTTTTTGGTTCCGGCAGCAGGGGTCACGCCCAAACCAGTGACACTCCAAATAGGCGTGATCCATTGTACTCTATAAATACTCCAAAATTTCTATTTTTACCATTTTACTCTTTGTCTCTAACTTTCCTCTAATACGCTAGTGCTCTCTACCTTCGGGGAAAAGTTGGTTAGCGAAGCTTTGTCAAAGAAATAAGATTTTAATACCTGTTATGTATATTAGTGAATTACAAATTTATAAGTAACTTGGAAAGTTGTTAGTGATCAAGAAATGTTGTAGTGACTTAGGAACGTTGTAGTGACCTAAGAATTAATATTATTTACTTACAAATTAATTAGTGACTTAGAAATTTGGTAGTTTGCTGGAATTTTGTGTATGCTTAATAAACTTGATTATAAAATGGGTTCATTTTTTCTACAGTCAATGTAGATAACTTATCTACATTGAGCTCAAAATGACGTCGTTTTGAGGCAGAAATCAATATATTTTTGTAATTATAATTTATTTCAGGGCTATAATAGTCTTTTTCTTTATAATTTTTTAATTTTCAACTCAAAACGACATCGTTTTGGAAGTGAATGTAGATAACTTATCTACGTTCAATGTAGAAACATTAAAGCCTTATAAAATTGATAGGAATATCTTAAATTATTTTTAGGAATTAATTACTTACGAATTAATTAGTGACCTAGCCATGATAATATTATTTACTTACGAATAAATTAATGACTTAAGAATATGCTTAATAAAATTGATAGTGACTTAGGTAATGAATAGTGACATATTAGAAGTAATTGAAATTACGATTATAATATAATTTCATTTCGACGATTCACTTGGTAGGGGTGTGTGCTTAATTTTTAAATATATATTACTGTTACATATTGTAAGTAGTTGGTTTTTAAATTATTTTTAATGTTGCATTACACTTGTACCTATAATTTGATTATAAATTAATGGTTACAATAAATTTAATATTTTGTATAATTTCTTATCATGGCTGATTCATCATCATCTGGGGGTTCTGCATCCGACCACGAGCCAGAGCCTATCGATCCTAATATGTATATCATACCTAGGCCAGATAGGTGGGCGGTCCTTCGGAAGAGGACGCAGAGTGCACATATTTCACAGCGTGAGTGAAATACGAAGCGTGTACGTCGCTGAAGACCCGGCGCGGTAAGATACACGGGGGCCATCTATCAGTGCTATTCCAGATGTGGTCATGGATTACCTGACCCAGGAAGGATTTATACATGTTGCACGCATGCGACATATTCAAGTATGCACTTTAGGATGTAATATATTATATTGTTATACAGTTTAATGACATGCCATGTGATCATTGTATTATGTATTTCAGATTGATGTCGCATTGATTAGTGCTCTGGTCGAGAGGTGGAGACCAGTGACACATACCTTTCATATGACACAGGGTGAGATGAGTATCACCTTGCAGGATGTGGCTGGTATACTGGGATTGCCTACTGACGGGCAAGTCGTTACCGGATCTACATCTGAGGATTGGCCGGCCATTTGTGAGGAAATTTTTGGTGCTAGGCCTCTGGCGAGTGAGTTTCATGGTGCTGGCGACTTATGGATCTCGTACTTGGATTGGATGTATGCTCGATGAGGAGACGTAGCTGGGGATCACGATCGAGAGATTTTTTTCACGAGGGCGCATATTGTGTGTATGTTAGGGTGTTGGCTTCTATGTGACTGATCAGGAGGTAGCAGCATGGGTTGTCGCCTAGTCCCGTTGCTCGGATGAGGGTTTGACTATATTGGCTGATATAGCTGGGGTCTACGGTACTGGCGCACTTGTTCAGGAATTTGTGCGAGTGTACAGACGCCGGTAGATCTGACATGGGTGGGTGCCACATTCTTCTCTAGATTTAGTCCTGGATCAGATTTCCACCTATTGCTCCCCCTTCCTCCTCCTCATGGTCCTGGGACGCACTATGGATGCCGGTATGTGTGTTTTGAAAATTGTGTATTTTTATTAATTTGCGAATTGTATTGTTAATAATGATGTTTATTTTGGATGACAGGTTTAATACTCTTCGGAGGTTCAAGCCATATGAGGTTATGCATTATCGGGAAACCATAGATACATTATGTAGAGATGAGGTAAGGTTTTATGTATTTTGAAGTATTTTTAGAAGTGTTGGATTCTTTTTATTACATATTTAATTATGGAATTTTTTTTGTGTGTAGGTGGTTTGGAGACCATACATAAATTACGTATGGTTGGGTGTATCTCCACAACAGCAATATCTCTGGTTTGTTGTCACACATGTCATTTACTTTCACACAGTTGCGGCCAGCCAACCTGATAGGTGTATGCGACAGTTTGGTTTGGATCAGCTGATTCCTGATGTTTCTAGAAAGTTGAAAGGCTTCCATGATCATACGTTGCGCGAGAAAAAAAGATGAAAACTGGACTCGTAAGCTGCGTCTGTGGATACACAGATGGCAGATCAAGGAGAAGCATATCATTGTGCCCCCTCCACTGCCAGGGCTGATGTCACCTAACCACAAGTATATGGAGTGGTATAGAGCTAGAGGAAAACGATACATATCGAGGAAGGCTGCGAAGATAGGACGCATGGTAAGTTTAACATTTTTTTTATTTGCACTATTAATGAGCTGCCTATGACTAGTTGTTTATATGTTATAATGTATAGATTGATGGGCTGGAGATGTAGTACTATGCCACCACTGCTAAGGAGTTTCCCCAATACGGTTTAGAGTACATTCACGAGGAGATTAGTTGTATTATCGGGGTATTCAGGGAGCCCTCTCGTGTGGATGAGCCTGGACCACAGGCACCCCCGACCTAGACAGAGCCTGGACCGCAGTTGTCTCTAGAGGTTCCGCGTACTAGACAGGAGGGACGCGAGTTAGGTCATTGTCGGGAAAGGGTTCCACCCGTCCTAGTTCCTATTGTTGGACCCAGACCACGCATAGAGACTCACGGATGGTTCCGACCTCTAGTAATTGGTCATACGTAAGGGTCACAACCCATGTACTATGAGCCATCTCAGCAGCTAGGTGGACCTAGCCAGCTAAAGTCCCAACATCCGTATATAGATTCACAGGAGCCAGTGTTTAAGGCCATTCTAATGGCCATGGCAACAGGGGACATGCCGTATACACAGGGTGAGGGTCTTAGTCTAGACATGTCGCAGTGGACTCAGGAGCATGTTCATGCACGATGCACAGAGCTGGGCCTTGACCCAGATAGCCTTGATAGTCAGGAGACAGATGACACTCCACCTCAGATCCGCGTTGTGTCATCACCCCACATGCAGTCTAGTACATCGGGACATGCACCTTCTTACGGAGTTGGGACCTCATCATCTATGAAGCCACATACAACAATAGATGATTTTATGCAGGCAGTGATGGATGATTATAAGACTCCAGCGCCAGCGCCACCTCCTGCGTCACAGGGTGTTGACGACGCTTGGGACAGACGTATACTGCCTGATCGCGATGCATGCCACCGGCCATGGCCACCATGGTCGTAGTCTTGAAGAGTTAACTTGTGGTGATTTGAGTGATAGTTTGGTTACCTTGAAGAGTTAATTTTTGACGAATTCTCTGATGCAGTTCATCAATTGTTGAGTTGTGTTGCGTTTGATACGTGTTGGCCTTTTTTCACCTTAAAAAATGACACATCATCGTCCTTCCATCTTCCTACCATTGTAATGTAACACAACACGAACAGAATCAGAATGTGAACTCATTTTAAAATGGAATAACAAATAAAATAAAAGTCTATGAATAAGCTAATAATTTTGTATGTAAAAGTAAGAATTGATGGTAGAGAAGAGTTGTGAAGAGTGTATAGAATTATAAGGATTTATATAGATATATTTGCAACATTCACGCCTTGGTTGTAGGGGTGTTCATCAACCGATCCAAACCAATTCAAACCGCGGTGACCGAACCGAAAAATCGAAAACCGAAAAAAAACTGCAAATTTTAATTGGATTGGATCGGTTTTCGGATGGGTTGATGGAAACCGATCCAATCCAAACCGATCCAATATATTAATTTTTCTCTACCTACTTGAACTTTTCCCCAATCATAGCCCAAAAATTTCTAAACCCAAGACCTGTTAACCCATCAACTACACCCAAGAAAAAACCTAATCACATCTCATCAACAAAATTTTATCTGTGTAGAGCTTTATATCTCATTGCTAAAAAAAAATTATATTATCGTTTACTGATTCTTTTATGTTTCAAAAATAAAAAAATTTACAAAGCCAATATATACAAAAGATTTTATTTGCACAATAATCATGAAACAAATTTTAGGATTTTCAAAAAACCGAAAACCGATCCAATCCAAACCAAAAAAAATTGGATTGGATCGGATCGGATTTGAAAAAAAATCTAAACCGAATGGATGATTAAATGATCAAACCGAAGATATTGGATCAGATTATTTTTGCTTCCAAAACCGATCCAATCCAGACCGCGAACACCCCTACCTGGTTGGACATCATTTTTGCATGTGACACGACTAAATTGGGCATCACAGGTCACGCCCCATTTAGACGAGACCCACGTGGAGGTGACGCCTATATGGGGCGTGACTTGTGACTTCCAATTTGGAGTGACATTGTGTAATACATGTGTAATTATTTTCAAAACAACAATAAATTCGTAATTTTTTTTATTAAAAATACAATAAATTAATTTTTTTGTCGAAA